AATTCTTCAGAATTATTTTAGTTTCTTGAAAAGACAATTGACAGCAATTTATATTATCTGCAAGCTAGTGACGTTGCTCTTGCATTAGTTTTTTGGTAGAGTTGTGGGCTTTAAAGGTTGCCAATTTTAACATTTCAGACAATTAATCATCTGTTTTTGTTTTTCTATCAATGTCTTATGAGCAAGTTGTTCCGGCTTAACAAAAATTCGAAATTGGGTTGATGCCAGCTATTTGGTTTTATCATTACAATATTAAATGCAAATAATATCACTGTCTCTTGCATAATGTTTTCGAAAACTATTCCCATATAACAATCTGATTGTAACAATCAAATATTTTTAAACCAAAACTTAAGTAAAAACATAATTGGCAATCAAATTATTTAGGGTTTTCCTTTTATACGATAAGTGTTTAAACTCCAAATTCTGATTAAAAAATCAAATTTTTCACGCTCGGTTGAATTTTTCTTCCATAAAACTTACAATTTTGAGCTAGCAATTTTAATTTTTAATACTGTTTGAAATAGACGGATGTTTTAAATACTGTCTGAAAAAAGTTTCTGACCAGCGTTTGATTTTAATCTACAGTAAGTGCTGATAAAATTATAATAGTTTCAGCTTTCGACTTTTTTCCGCCCATCTTTTGAAATTTGGATAATTAACTAGCGATGTATTTTGTCCTGTTAAAGATTAAGCACTCATTAAACTGCTCAAGATTGAACTGATTCAAGCAGCTTGCTCTTTAATAATGCATGCAGTGACGCAGAACATATCAGTTTAAAATTAACTTAGGGTGCAGGGTGATTAAAATTCTGAGTAATATAATTAAGCACATAAGAGAAAAGCTCCTTTGTGAATGTTTTATTGGGAGAAAAACCCCACACACGCTATGTAAATACAAATTGAGATTTTTGTATTGACTTTTGAAAAAAATGCTGAATAATTATGCTAGGGATTGTTTTTTTTGTTCTTTCATTTTATCATTTTTCAATTAATTGATCTTGTTTCGAGTTAAACACTTCAGAATCTTTTTGCTTTTTTGAAAAGACAAATGACAGCAATTTAAACCATCTGAAAGTGGCGTTTCACATGCATAAGTTTTTTGGTAGAGTTATGGGCTTTGAAGATTGCCAATTTCAATGTTTCAGACAATAAATCATCTGTTTATGTTTTCCTATAATGTCTAATGAGCTATTTTTTCCGTCATTACAAAACTTCAAAATTGGATTGATGCGAGCTAATTGGTTTGATCATTACAAAGTTAGATGCAAATAATATCACTTTGTCACTTGCATAATGTCTTCAAAAACTATTCCCATATAACAATCTGATTCTAATAATCAAATTTTTTTAAAACTAATATTTAAGTAAAAACGTAATTGGCAATCAAATTAATTAGGGTTTTGTTTTCATACGATAAGTGTATAGGCTCCAAACTTGAGAAAAATTAATAGATTTTTATGCTCGTTTGGTTTTTGCTTCCATAAAACTTACAATTTTGAGCTAGCACTTTTGGTTTTCAATACTGTTTGAGATAGTTTCAAATACTGTTTGAATAAAAATACTGGCCAGCGTTTGAATTTATTCTATGATAAAAGCTGATAAAACTATAATAGTTTCAGCTTGCGACTTCTTTCCGACCATCTTTTCAAATTTGGATAATTAACTAGCGATTTACTTTGTCCTGTTAAAGGTTAAGCGCTGATTAAACTGCTCAAGATTGAACTGATTTAAGCAGTTTGTTGCTTATTAATGCAATCAGAGACGCAAAACATATCAATTTAAAATTAATTTAGGTTGTACGCTGATTAAAATTCTGACTGTAGAAATGAAGCACATAGTTAAAAGCTTTTTTTTTGAATGTTGTATTGAAAAAAAACCCACTACACGCTATGTTAAAACAAATTGACATTTTTGTTCGCACTTTTGATGCAAAAGCGGAATAGTTATGCTCGGGATTGTTTTTTGTTGTTCTTTCTATTTTCCACTTTTCAACTAATTGGTCTGTATTGAATTAATTTCTTCAGAGTTATTTCACTTTCTTGAAAGGACAATTGACAGCAATTTAAATTATCTGCAAGCTAGTGACGTTGCTCTTGCATTAGTTTTTTGGTAGAGTTGTGGGCTTTAAAGGTTGCCAATTTTAACATTTCAAACAATTAATCATCTGTTTTTGTTTTTCTATTAGTGTTTTGTGAGCGAGTTGTTCCGGCTTAACAAAAATTCGAAATTGGTTTGATGCGAGCTTTTTGGTTTTATCATTACAAAATTAGATGCAATTAATATCACTTTGTCTCTTGCATAATGTTTTCAAAAACTATTCCCATATATTAATCAGATTCTAGAAATCAATTACTTTTAAAAACAAGAAATTTAAGTAAAAACATAATTGGCAATCAACTTATTAAGGGTTTTGCTTTTATACGATAAGTGTTTAGGCTCCAAATTCTGAGGAAAATAACAGATTTTTCATTCTCGGTTGGCTTTTTCTTCCATAAAACTTACATTTTTGAGCTAGCAATTTTAGTTTTTAATACTGTTTGAGATAGTTTTAAAAACTGTTTGAATTAAATTTTGGCCAGCGTTTGAATTTATTCTATGATAAAAGCTGATAAAACTATAATAGTTTCAGCTTGCGACTTTTTTTCGAACATCTTTTCAAATTTGGATAATTAACTAGCGATATATTTTGTCCTGTTAAAAATTAAGCACTGATTAAACTGCCCAAAATTGAACTGATTCAAGCAGCTTGTTCCTTATTAATGCATTCAGAGACGCAAAACATATCAATTTAAAATTAATTTAGGTTGTACGCTGATTAAAATTCTGACTGAAGAAATGAAGCACATAGTTAAAAGCTCCTTTTTGAATGTTTTATTGGAAGAAAACCTCCCACACGCTATGTTAAAAACAAATTGACATTTTTGTTCGCACTTTTGATGCAAAAGCGTAATAGTTAAGCTCGGGATTGTTTTTTTTGTTCTTTTAATTTTCCATTTTTCAACTAATTCCTCTGGTTTGAATTAAATTCTTCAGAATTATTTTACTTTCTTGAAAGGACAATTGACAGCAATTTATATTATCTGCAAGCTAGTGACGTTGCTCTTGCATTAGTTTTTTGGTAGAGTTGTGGGCTTTAAAGGTTGCCAATTTTAACATTTCAGACAATTAATCATCTGTTTTGTTTTCTATCAATGTCTTATGAGCGAGTTGTTCCGGCTTAACAAAAATTCGAAATTGGGTTGATGCCAGCTATTTGGTTTTATCATAACAACAATAGATGCAAATAATATCACTTTGTCTCTTGCATAATGTTTTCAAAAACGTTTCCCATATAACAATCTGTTTCTAGAAATCAACTATTTTTAAAAACAAGAAATTGAAGTAAAAACATAATTGGCAATCAAATTATTAAGGGTTTTGTTTTTATACGATAAGTGTTTAGGCTCCAAATTCTGAGGAAAATAACAGATTTTTCATTCTCGGTTGGTTTTTTCTTCCATAAAACTTACAATTTTGAGCTAGCAATTTCAGTTTTCAATACTGTTTGAAATAGACGGATGTTTTAAATACTGTCTGAATAAAGTTACTGGCCAGCGTTTGAACTTATTCTATGATAAGTGCCGATAAAACTATAATAATTTCAGCTTGCGACTTTTTTCCAACCATCTTTTCAAATTCGGATCATTAAATAGCAATATCTTTTGTCCTGTTAAAGATTAAGCGCTGATTAAATTGCTCCAGATTGGAGGCAAGCAGCTTGCTAATTATTGTTCCGACTTTCGATACGAAAGTAACGGATTATTTGTGCTCGGGTGAGAATTTTTTCTTCAGACAAATTTTGACTTTTTAACTAGCCATTTTTGACGGAATCTTTTTATATCATTCGAAACGTATTGTTGTCCTGAGCTCAAATTTGAAAAGATATTTCACCTGTGATCATTTTTCGTATAAATACGGGGGTTTAAACATTGCCATTTTGGTCAATTCAGGACAATTAACGCGCGGTGTATTTCGCGCTATTAACGCGTAAGCGGAGAGTAAATCCGTCTTAGAAATTGTTCCAAATTGGTTAAAAGAAGCTTATTTGCCATTATTGGTTTATTACAAGGAGATAAATCTATCTTTTTGTACTTAATATGGCGTATGGGGGGATGATTTTCTTTCAAAAAAATTTCAAATTTAGAAGAAAAAAAAATCTTTTTATTTTTTTTTCATTTAATTTATTAATGTTATAACTGCTCCATAAAACTTAAAAAGCTTTCGGAACATTTAGGGCATTGCCCTGATACGAGCAGTCTTGTTAACCATTTAGAGACGCAAAATGCATCAGTTCAAAATTAACTTAGCGTGAGGGGTGATTAAAGTTCTGACTGATGAAATTAAGCAAATAAATAAAAGCTCTTTTTTGAATGTTTTTGAAAAAATATCCCCACACGCAATGTAAAATAAAATACATAGTGATATTTTTTTTCTGACTTTTGAAGAACTTTATGCTTGGGATTGTTTTTTTGTTCACTCATTTTTCCATTTTTCAACTAACGTTATTGACAAAGCTTAAAGAATCTCATAGAATCTGAAAGATATTGTTGTCCGGAGCTCAAATTTAAAAAGATTTCTTACCCCTGTGATTATTTATTGTAAACTTATTGGAGTTTGAAAGCTGAAATTTTAACTGATAATTTGGCTAATACATAATTATCAACAACAACAATACCTTTTGACGAGTTTAAAAGTTTCCGTCAGAAATTGCAAGGTGAAAAGTCGAATTTTGCCGAAAAAAAACCAGCAAGGTACAAATAGTCCGTCATTTTCTCAATAAAGAATTCTTTGAAAGTAATCCCTTTTCTTTTAAACTTTTTTGAAGAATTTTTTTAATTCTTAAGCTTTTGATTGACGTCAGAGGATTCAGAGTTTCTTTCCAATACGAGCAGTATTGTTTTAACTAATATCGTGTCTGAAAAGAAACAGTGCGCTAAATGTTCTTTTGTTTTTCTTACTTTGTTCCCCTCCAAAAGAAGAAGTTTTCTGCAGGTACAGAGACAGGTTGTAGGCAGTTCTGTAAGGATAACTATACGTGAGAACTGAGTCGCTGGAATTCGTTTCTGTTAATTGGTTGGTCAGTTTCAGCTTCTTCAACTGGTCCTCAATGTTGTCCAGAGATTTTTGGCACTTCGTATTACTGTCACGACGGAATCGCGACTCTAGTGGCACCGCTAGTATTGCCGTCAAATTGAGAGCTAGAAAAAGTAGCACAGTCATCAATCATCCTCTTTTGATAATATGCCATCAAATGTAAATGCTGGTGCAATGAACAAATTTGATAAAAACACTTTGTTAAAAAGTTTAATGATTGAGTTTCAAGCGAACGTCAGAGAAAAATTTTTGGATTTTGAAGTTATTCATACAAAAATGCTATAATTTTTGGCTAACATTTTTTTCCTTTCAAACTCGGCGAGGTAATAGTCTCATAACTACAGCAGTCAGACTGCCATCGCGGTCAAAAAATTATAAGAAGTACTAGTTTTTTTGGTCAAATCGCTTAGCTGAGGTTTCAATCTGGGTTTTAAATTCTGAATATCAATTATTTAAATTCTGACTGTCAATTTTTATAAATATTAGTTTAATGATATCAAATCTGTTTACTCACCAATAAATAATAAAGCTGTACAGTAGTTAGATACTTTGAAGAGATCCCTCGGTCTATAACTTTTCCTCCTTGTCGTTGGGTCCGTGGCCGCCACATTCCGACAGAATATGAACGAAATTCGCTGATTAATATCTGATCACATTTTTGATATTCTCAACTTTTCGATTATCCGGAAATCATACGAAGCAAAATGTTGGAATAGACAAAATTATTAGAAAAGAGTAATCTGCTAATCATGACCATTTTTGCATGCAAAATAGAACTTTTAGTTGACCTTGAGACAGAACTTCTACCTGAAACGTTAGCATTGCATAAAATTGGAAGATACAAGTTTAATTAAAAAGAGCAAAAGACCTTTTTTAGAAATTTTAGCCTGTAAAATCTTTTTTTTAGCCCAAATTTATGTCTGAAGGGTGATTGAAGCATCAAAGTTGGATGCAAAATGATAAATTGCTTTTTTTCCATTTTTTTGTGTATGTGCGAACTTTTGAAACTCTTTATATAGAGAATTCCAAAAATTGGAACAGACAAATTTAATTTATACAACAAATGACCAAGTTCAAAAAATCTTAGCTTACAAAAGCTAAATTTTCAGAAACAAAGAACTTTGTATTATCAGAAAGTAGTAAGATAATGACTTTCCTACAAACATTAGAAAAAAAACTTTTTGTATGTTTTTTTTGGGAAAAATCTCTTTATAACCAGTTCAAAAGTTCTCCACTGTCGCAGAATAAGATAACGGAACCTAGTCGACCAAACCACTCGTTTCGCCACAAGTGTTTACTGAAAACCCTCTAGCTTGTTAGAGTTAGTTTTTTTGCTCAAAACTAGAAGTTTTATCGAAATATAGCTGAACCCCACATAACGCGTCCGCAGCTGTATCACAAAATTCCGCGTCAAAGTTGATTTTTTAATATCTCCAAGATAATTTTGAACCGCAATCAAAATGTTTTTGGAGCCGCAATCAAAATTTCGAAATAAAATCAAAAAATTTTTGGCAATTTTTTTTTGAATTTTGGAAAAAAAATAGCTAACTTGGAACTTTTCGTTTTGGAGAGTTGGAAGATAGCGGAAGTTTCCTACAAATTTTATTTAAAAAATTCTATGAAAGGAGAATTTTTTATACGATGGTCAAACCTGGGTGATTCAAGCTCATCTAAAATTCAAACTTGCATGCCTTTATCCTGCATATTTTAAAAATGAAAAGTATTCAAAGTGATAGTATTGCTAAATATGCAGCTCGTTGCCCATCAATTTTTGTCAGGGAGATTTATTTGTTCACCATAATCAGTTTATCGTGAGTTAGCTATCAAAGATTGTGCCAAAATTTGTCAGTCTTTTCTGTTGCTTCAACCAATATCAGTCTGCAGCAATTCAATTAGAATTCGTTTGAATATTATAAGACTGCACATACCATTAGCGTGAAACCTGATTACTCTTATTGCTCTTTGAAGAACCATTACGAGGCCAATCTGTGTATTCTGATTTTTTTTTTGTGTTATTTCTTTAATTTTTTGCTACTGCGGAATCTAGAGACGAGTGAATAAAACAGAGCACATCTCAAAATTCGGTCTCATTGCTTCATTGCAACCAAAAACTTCAAAATGATTGTTTTTTTGTTGAAGTCATTTTTAGCTTTATTTTGTTGCATTTTTTATCGCTTAAATCGACTAAAGTTTCAGATGACCTCTATCTAGTAAATCTGAAAATCAATCAAACACAATATCAGCACCATCGATCCATTATATATAAAAACTCAGTTTTTCAAATTTTTTTAATTGCCAATTTTCATAAGAAAATAACTCACTCTTAGTGTTACTCTTAAAACATAGTCCAAAATTTTGAAAGCAAAAGTTCTTAAATGGGTCTTTTTTGATAAATTTTGGGAAGTTTTGCACATCTTTTTCTTCAAATTATGATATGCGAAGTTACAATTGAAGCCAGCAAAAGCGTTTTTAAAGAAGACCCTAATTGTAAAAAAAAAATGAAATTTTTAAAAAGTTGAGAATATCAAACCAGTTGCCATGCTTGCGTTCAGTGTCTCTGGTAGCTGGATTTTAGTACAGTGTTTTGCAGAATGAAAACTAATACTTTGCCGATGACCTTGAACTGATTACCTCGTTTTATTGATCATAAGTTATAATTCTCGAAAGCCAGGGCCCAAAAACTTAGAAGTTTTAGTTCAAACAAAAACACGTGAAATTTTCCTGCATGGGAATGAATATATTCAAAAATAACGAAGTTATTTAAAGTTGTTACAAATACCAGTTAGATGACCAACTCGAACCAAAATATAACGGAATTCGACCACCTTTACACCATATTAGGGCTGAATAATGATTGGAAAGTAGGCTAAAGTTTTCACTAATGGGTGGGCATCTCATTTTATATGATATCAGACTAACAGTTTGTTTGAAAAAGATAGGTCACTTAACTGATACTGCCAAATGGCAATAACTCATATCACAAAAGCTTTAGATTTAAGTCGAGTTTTGAGGAGCACAAAGAGCAGATCAAGTGCTAAACTTGATTTGATTGACCGGTTCAATCAAGCTATCGTCTTCAAATATATTGATCTGTCTTCTGATCAAACAGTGGGAAACAGTTGTGAAACGTTTGAAAACAAACTAATCACAACACACTTCTGATTGCAGTTTTTCACACATCATCACCAGACCAACTCAAATAAATACCAATTTTGAACAAACGTCGTAAAACTTGAACAAAGGTCGAATATCAAACTTGAACAAACGTCGAATCCCTGAAGGAAGGCGTCCGCCCACCGCTCCCCCCCCCCCCTAAATCCGTTCCTGACCTGATCACAATCACACGCTTTTTCTATAGTTTGCAAAATCAAAAATCCTTCTAATTTGTATACTGTAAACCCTATTTCAGACAAAGCCAAAATAAGGAATTGTAAGAAGACAAAATTTTGATTGCAATTTAAGTTCACGGAGAAAATATATTTATATATTTTTTGTTGTTATTCGATAAAATCTGTTTGAACTTAATTCAAAATTAAGTATCAGTGAGCGAACGCTTCCGACTGATTCTATTTTTTTAAAAATGAAATATTTTATTATTGATCCTATTCCTATTAATTTTCAATTGCCAAAAAGCAGCAAAACATAGAAAAACAATTAAGTCTGCTCGTATCCGTAATGAATCTGATTGCTTAAAAAATTATCTGCATTAGTTTTAGAAAAATCTTTATAACTTTCAACAAAAATAGTCTTTTTCAGAATATATAGATTTTAAAAGTTTTTAATCTTCCCGCATAACGCAAGGTCAAGATCAGATCGTTAGAGTTTTAATCTCGTAAAATACTTTTCGTAGAAAAAATATGTTGTCCATTGGTTTCAATTACTGTTGAAAATTGCGCTGTAATTATCTTGATGTGGCCAAATTGGATTTTTTCAACCCCCATAAATTTACAAAAAAAAATCGGAGTTGAAATGTTTTTTAAAAGAATTTTGTGAGCTCATGACATCGCCAAAGTTTAGCCAAAATTCAATATTATTTGGATATAAAATAACTACCTCAATTGAAAGCAGTCCCTGTTTCTCTAAGGTCGAAGAACAGAAAGTGAAAACTAAAATATACTTCAGTTTGATTCGAATTTCAAATGTGAGCCAACTCCATTGATCACAACTGTTGCGAAAGAAAACAAAGAGTTTTCTAGACAAAGCCTAATTTCACAACTGCATTTCTCAAAAATACTGCATTTCTCACAACTGCATTTCTCAATAAATAGACAAAGCCTAATTTCACAACTGCATTTCTCAAAAATAGTTTTTTGATGACCAGACGATAGCTTAGTTCAAGTTTCGGCTAAGGTTCTGCGGAAAGATCAAACAATTAAAAATGAAAATCTCACATATAATTCGATCATATAATGAAAACTGAAAAACTCTCGCTGTAAGTTTCTATTGAGTGAGAAATACTCAACACAGGAGCGTATCTTGTATTTTGTCAAAGAAGGTGAATTTTCGAACAAAAAGTTTTTAGGCACTTTTTGCGGATCAAAATGATCAAGAGACCAGCAGAAAAAAATTTTAGGGTCGTTCATCTAAAAATGGAGTTCTTAAAATAGTAACAAAATTGGGTCCCTTTGATCATCAGGGGCTCGAGTCCCTAAAAATAAAGTCACTTCCAATCGCTTCCCTCCCTATCGCTGCTGAATCAACACCTATTAGACTCAAATAGCTTGAAAAAAAGCTAACCTTAGAACTTCCAGAAAAATTAAAGAAAACCTGATAATTACAGTGCTGCATTCATGGTTTTTTTAAAAAAAAATTTTAAGGGTGATATTTTTTCGATACTTGGCTGGGGGTGAACACTACCCGCTCTGACCAACTGAATTTGTTCAAACTAAAATTGAAATTGTTCTTTATATAAAACTGAAAAAAGACTGTTCTTTAAAACAAACTGAAAAATATACTGAAATTGTTCTTTATATAAAAAAATATGCCAAATATGAAACTCGATTTACAGTAGTACATTCAAACACGTAAATTAATTTAGAACATTGATTTTCGCAAGCTAGTTAAACAATGGACTTAAATAAGATTTTTGTTAAAAAACATTTGAATTGCACAAAAAATCAATTTCAACTATTTAAATTGATTTTCGCAAGCTAGTGAAGTGCAACAAAAACACAATTGATTTAACTCACTATTGTTTTAGTTGTGAACTTTCGTGCAAAAAAAAATTTGTGCACAAAAAATCTACGCCATAAGTAAAAAGAACAAGACTGCTCGTATCAGGGCAAAGCCCTGAAAGTTCCGACTGCCTTTTAAGGTATATGGAGCATTAATAAGAAAAAACAAATTTCAATGTAATAAGAAAATTAAAAAAAAATTTTTGAAAAAATTTGAGATTTTATGTAAAAAAATCCCCCCACACGTCATATTAAGTACAAAGTGATAGATTTTGCGCCTATTAACAAATCAATTATGGCAAATAAGCTTGTTTCAACCAATTTGGAACGATTTCTAAGACGGATTAAATCTCGCTTACTCGTTAATAGCGCGAAATTTATCGCCCGTTAATTGTCCCAAATTGGCCAAAATGGCCAATTTAAACCCCCATAATTCTACAAAAAATGATCACAGGTAATAT